CTTCCATCAGCTCCAGCCAGCATAGAATCACAGACTCGTACAATGGTAGCATTACCATTACCCTTAGAAGGGATCCCCCCAAAGGGTCATCTAGCCCAACCCCCTGAAATACAGGAATCACATCTAAAGAATCCCTGACAGATGACCATCCAGCATGGTCAGTGTTCAGGAATGATGGGAGCTGTAGCCCAGCAGCACCTAATGGTCCACAGTTTTCCTACCCTTGCTGCACACCAATATTTTTTTGAGGGGACATGTCTCTTCTTTGTGTGTCAGTGCTATTTGAGGTGCAGCCAGTTGCTACCTGGGGCAGGGGTTTCTTGGTTGCAGGGTCCAATCCTGGAATTGCCTCCTGAAGGAGTCCTATCCAGCCTCTTCCTGTGCCCCAGTTCAGAGGTAGAGCATAAGTGTTGCATGCAAAGTGTCCCGACTTTGATCCCTGTTGTCTCCAGGCAAAGACCCTTCCAGGAACCCTGGAGAGCTGCTTTCGGTCATTGTAGACATTACTAATAGACCAGTATCATCTCATTTGGTATAAAGCCATTCCCTGTGCTGCAAACATTAAGAAAGGGGGCAAAGACTCATTGACTTCAATGGGTCTTCAGTGTTACATTTATTTATCTATTGATTTAATGCATTAAATTTATACACTGCTTTATTGTTAAAGTGGTTTGCAGAAAGAATAAACCAATAAAATTATTGTTAAAAACAGCAATTCAAAACATCAAAAAATTAATTAAAATCAGTGACAAGCAAAAGCAGATAAAAATGCATGTCAACATTCTATGTATCAGGATAGGTTTGCCAAAAAGCAGGTGCTGAAAACAGCATAGTGAAGGTAGGGAGTTCCAAAGTGTGGTTGCTGCCACACTAAAAATATCAATTTCTTACATCCCACCTGGTGCAATTCTTTTTCTCTCTTTGCCTGTGTTTTTCTTTCTCCTGGGATGCTCTTTTTTCAAAGTTAACTTTACTGTTGTCTTTCAGTGTTCATCACACTTTCTGACTGCTGTACACTGCCTAGAGGGCCTTTTAAGGGTCAAAAGTGGGTTTACAAATGGGCACATAAATGCAAACCTAATTTCAGATGGCAGCGCTCGGTGGCGCAAAATCTCAAAAAGTGATCTAATGACTCCGGGAAGGAGCTCATATGGGATGATCAGACGATTTAGGTTTTTAAAGGGAAAAGGCAGAACTTTAAATGGTTTGTGGACAGTGTGACACATTACATCTGTGCTATTCCGTAAGAAACAATCACCCATTTTTTAAAGTTCTCCTGTGATTATGTGTTACAATTATGTGTAACTGGTTGCCAGCTTGATTTGGGCAGAACAATACGCTGCTGGAAACACCTTAATGGGGTGTTTCCTTACTGGGACTACCCTGTGATGTCAAGCATTCTGTGTCCACCAATGTAATGAAGGACAGAGAGAAATTCGGTTCAGTTCTCATTTAAAGGTGAACCTATGTAATTCACACTTTCCAAAGCAATATAAGAACCCAAACTCAACCATCCTTAGAAATCCACACTTTTTGCAGTTTCCCATGCAGTTTCCCAGCCAAGTAACGTGTACAGAATTGCAGATTACCAGGGTAAATTGTGCATAAAAATGCATATATTTGTGAAGATAACATGCAAAAATGCACTCTAGTAGAGGAAATTGCTTTGCAAAAATGTGTGCGTCAGTTAGGCAAAATTGCAGACAAATGTGTATCGGTTGGGAGAAATTCGAACTGAAATTCTGAGGAGGGCTTTTAAAAAGGAAGAAAGAAAATTGCAAACTAATGTGAAGAACTGAAGCTAAGATCAGAAAAAAATGAGAAACTGATAGATTTGCCCATCCCGAAATGTAATGGAGCAAAGGCAGAATGGCACATTGTCCAGGTCTGAGACCCTGCAAAGAACCCTCTTCTCTTCTCATTCCTGTGTCCCTTTAAGTTTTGCCCAATGCCCAAGTGTAGAAGATGGGAAACCTCTGTCACCACAAGGGCTGCATTCCTTTCTAGGCATCCTCTCAGGGGCCACGTGCTGGTGGTGGGCAAGGCCAGAAGCAGAAATGGGTGGAGTAATGAATATTAATTTACTCACACATGCAGCACTGCTCTCCATCTAGGCAGGCAAGAAGCATTATCAGAGGTCGCACTCACAACTGCACATTTAAAGCATTTGCATGCTATTTTGATAGCCATGGCTCCCCCTTCCCCCAAAAATTTGGGAACTGTAGTTTGTTAAGGGTGCTGGGAGCTATAGCTCTGGGACAAACACATTTCTAGGAAATTTAAATGGTAGTTCACAAATGCAGAGAGCAGGCTGAGCATCAGTGCTGGTGGGCCCTGACTCTGAGATGTCTGTGGGCGCTGGGTGGTGACACTGAGCCTGGCAAGATGTGATGGTGTCACATGAAGAAGCAAGTGGCACAATATGTCACAGTGGAAGATGGGAGAACCTGGCACCTAGGGGTGCCATTTTTGGGATGGCAGCCTCCATGTGTCTGACAGCATGTGTTCCACTCTTAAATGAATGGGTAAATGGAGTTCTTTTAACACATGCATGCGAGCGAGCGAGCGAGCGAGCGCACGCACGCACGCACACACACACTGCAAAATAAAAATAGTTTTTGAAAAAATCACACACATTCAAATGCAATTTGTTCCCAATGTTTAGCACCCGTTAACAACCAGTCTGCCACATTCTGGACCAGCTGAAGCTTCTGAACGGTCTTTTCAGCTTCCCCAGCTGTTACCCAAATGCTCAGCAGTGGGATTCCAAAGACATCTCTTTAAAATGTTGCCTCTGAGAGTTACAGCACCCCCGCTCTGATCCCTCCTGGATCAGAACAAGAGCCCATCTAGTCCACCGTCCCATTTCTAAAACAGCTTCTAAATCAGGCATAGGCAAACTCTGGCCCTCCAGATGTTTGGGACTACAATTTCCATCACCCCTGACCACTGGTCCTGTTAGCTAGGGATGATGGGAATTGTAGTCCCAAACATCTGGAGGGCTGGAGTTTGCCTATGCCTGTTCTAAATAGTAGACAGCCAGATGCTCCCAGGTTGAAAGTGACAGGCCCCTCCCTGCTCTTTGCTTCCATAACACCTGGTTTCAGAGATGTAGACTGCCACTAGATCTGGAAGTTCCATACAGCACTCTAGACTAATTCCTTTTTATGATTGATCACCTGTGAATTCGTCTAGCCCCCTCTTCGAGCCCTCAAAGCCAGCAGCCAGCAGCCATCACGTCTTGTGGCAGGGAATTCCTTAAGGCAATAATTATGCTTTGTGTGAAGAAGACCTTTCCTTGTGTCTAGCAGATCCTGAATCTCCTTCCCAGTCAGTTTCACTGGGAGACTCGAGTTTCAGCACGATCAGAGAAGGTGAAATGTTGCTCTTGTCTCCTTCCTCCATTCATAATTTTATAAACCTCTGTCATCTACCTCCATGAATAAAGACTCAAGCACGACTGCTTGTCCTTCTCCAACAGTGTGAGAATCTGGAGAGCTCCACATTAGATTGTCTTTCTAGCAAATCGCTTTCCACATCCCCAAAGAACATTCACACAGCATGAAAGAACTTTTCCTCTCCCCCCTCCAAACAAAGGCCTTCCTTCCCCCTGCTCTTTCTTCCACCTGAAACCACCTTGGGCAGCTCTCACAGCACCCCCAGCAGTGTCTTACGGCTAAATTCTGCATGCTGCACAGAACTCTCTGGGTACCCCATGTGATGGACCAAATGACAAGACAGAGAAGATTTGCTTAGCCACATTTCTTGTGCGCCCCAGAAGAGCACATCTCTAAAGCCTAAGCAAAAAATCAAAAGAGAGAGGCACAATGGTTCTGGAAGCAACCTCACCTGCACACTGTACACCCACAGGCTGATCCATGCATTTGCTGGCGGTGTTTGTGACAAGTTGCCACCGCTGACAACTTTCTGTCAGGAGAAGCCATTGATCTCTTGCCGTTGTGCAAATGTACCTAGAATCATAAGTGTTGCGAAGGACCTCAAAGGCCATCTAGTTTACCCCCTGCCAGGGCAGGAAAGTCTATGGTTCTGGTGAGCATGCAGACACACCTGAGACACATTATGAAAAGCATAATTTCCAAACCCAGCTGAGTGATCTCTGTTTCACCTGGCAAAGAAAGCAGACCCACAAAAGTAAATGCATGCAGGATGGCTGGGCCACATGTTTCCCAGCGCAGCTCATCCTTCCGACTTCATATATTTTCACATCTTACGGAGAGGCTTGGCCGTTCCCCCCACATCATGCAACCATTTCACAGCCCGTGACCTCTTTGTGAGGGTATTTTTTCGCTCTCGAGAAAACCACACATGGCGAGACCCATTAAACAAAAGCAACAACCCTGAATCTCACTGAGGACTAGTCTCTTGGCAGACACGAGAGAAAGCTTAGAGCATTCAGCACCAGGGAGAGGAGAGAGGAGGGTCTGCTGGCTTTTGCTTGACAATCTCTTTCCACCTCATCCTTTTCAAGGAAGGGAGAATTGGGATGCCTTTGAGAGACTCTCATAGGCTCTTGTCTAGCTAGGCATTTGGCCCCTGCTTTATAACCCTGTGAGGTTAAGCTGAGCATCTATTGAGAAGAGGGGCAACCCTCCCTCCCGACTCCCTGTAATGTGAGAATGCAGCTGGGGTGGTGGCAGTGGATGCTCAGCTACCGCCACATGGCAGGAGTGCAAGGCGCCACCGCGATCCGTAGTGCAACGTGCGGAGAATGTGGGACTGAGGAAGCACACCCCCTCTTTCTCTCCGCTCCTCTCCCTGGGTGGCTCCCCCTTCGCACCTTGGGCGCAGTGGGTGCCCGTCACTGACGCCAGATGCGCAAGGTGCCTGGCACTAACTGTTGATCAAAGCATCCACAGCTCCAAGTCCCATCCCTCCTCCACCTGGGAGGGTGCGGGGGGGGGGAGCCTCCTTCCTGCCTGGACACAAAGCCATTCTCCCCACCCTCTCGGAGCCACTGGCACGAGAAAGGATCCAAAAAGGACAAGGGGGTGGAAAATCTCCTTACCTCGCCTGATGGGATCCAGGCTCCTGGTCAGGGTACCGCTGCTACATCCTCCTGTCTTTTTTGGGTTTTTTAAGGGGAACAGGGGGTGGAAAAAACCCTGCTCCGTGAATATCGTCTGTCCTTCTGAGAAGAAGCGGCCCTTCCACACACTCACACGAGCACCCCAGCCGGCAGGATCCAAGTTGGTCTTTGATGGACTGAGGTATGGGAAGGAAGGTGTTTTAGGGAAGAAAGCCGGGCGGGGAGGGGGGCGATTTGGAGAAGAGGAGAAGGCGTGGATGCTTCCTTCAAAGATGCTCTCTGTCTCTCTGCCTCTCCAGCCCTGCACTGCAGATCTATGGGTTAATAGTAAGAAGATGAGGCTTGAGGTTCCTTTACTTACTGAACCACAGAGAAAATGAGAGGGGGGGGGCGGTTGAGTGGGAGTGGGAGGGGACAACACGAAGATGCGGAGGTGGATTTCCCAGGAACTGGGCAGAGCGGGGGAGGAGGGGGTTTCTCTTTTTGATTGGCAGGTAGACTCCACACGACTTCTCCTTGACGGAAGGCCACGATCCCGGCCTTTTATCGCTGGCAACTCACACGCACACGCGCGTGAACGCGAACGCGAACGCGAACGAACACGAACACACACACACACACACACACACTGGCCCGGCCTGGCGTGTTAATAATGCCAGCCGTGCATCTCGACACGAGCTTCGTGGAACCTGCAGCCCCCTCCCCGCCCTCTCTCCATCGCCTCAACCCCCCCTCCTCTCCGCTTTCGGAGCTCTCCTGGGCTCTGTTTTATCTTCTCTGCAATGGGAATCCGGAGCCGTTATGGCTCACAAGAGTGTGAGCAAAAAATAAAATCTTTTTCTTTTCTTTTTTAAAAAGATCTAATGTAAGAACATCCCTTCCAACAGCCCAGCCCAGGAGCAAGAGATGTTGTGGGGGGGGGGGAGTGGAGGGGGGGGGGAAGAAGAGATTTGCATTCAAGAAGCGAGGATGCGCTGCTTATTTTTAGGCACTCGGAACAAATTGCCTGCTGTTTTTCTGCTTTGTTACACAGCTACAGAAGCAGCAGGATGGGAGGATGGGGCGGGGTGGTGGTGGTGGAAGAGGCAGAGCCTTTTCGGGACGGGGTGGTGGAAGGAAGAGACGTGCTTGGAAAAAGAGGATGATCAAAGCTCACGAGGAGGAAGGGAAGGGGGAAAGCACCGCGGGTCTTGCCCAGGCAGGGCCTGGCCATTGGGGGTTGGCAAAGCGGGGAGGACTTTCCCTCGGGACTGTGGGGTGTGGTGGCCGTGGGGGCAGTTCAGAAGGAGGCCTTCCAGCACGCAGCTCAGCCAAGTGAGAGTGGATTCTGGCGGGGTAAAGGCTCCAGCCACTTCCGCCAGGGGGAGCTCCTGAGCTCTGTAGCAGAGCACCTGCTTGGGCCTCAGAAGGGCCCTCAGCATCTTCTGGTAGGAGTGTGCAAGGCTCTCTGCCTTAAACCCTGGAAAGCTGCTGCCAGCCAGTGCAGACAATGCCAGTGGCATAAGGCAGTCTTCAGTGTTCCTTAAAAGATGAGCTTCCAGCCACAGCTCGGTGTTAGAGCGCCTGCTATGCATGCAGAAGGGCCAGGGTTCCATTTCGGGTAGCTGCAGGTAGGCCTGGGAAGGACCCATTCCTGAAACCCAGGGCAGCTGCTGCCAGCCAGTGTTGACCGTACTGAGCCAGATGAACCAATGACTCCGTGCAAGGCGGCTTCCAGGTTCCCAGGCCCGGATTAAAGGGTATATGGAGGGGCCTGAGGCTGATAGGAGCAAAGGGCCTAAGTAGCATGTGCTGCACAGATTCCCAACAGCAATAAATAAAAATAACTCCAAAAGGCACCAGACAAAACAAATCTCGAATTCACAGATGCATTCAAATCAAAGAAACAACCAGCAAGCATAAATCATGCGCTGCAATCAAAACAAAACATTTCCTCCCCTTTAATCCCCTGGCTTTGGTTGTGACAAAGGCACAAATGGTGTCATTCCTCCAAGGGGCCCCAGGAGCAGCAAGCACTTGTTTCCTACAAACCCCTGGAGTGAAGTTGCACCTGTGGAATTGTGGGGAGTTTTTAAATGGCAGGTCTTCAACCCAGTGGCTTGGAACAGGGCCCCAGGCGGAGGGATCACAACGTTGCCAGTTGCTGGTGCTGGGCTTTACTTCATTCTAGCACTGAAAGGTGAGTGAATATGCTCTGGGCACAGGACTCATTTTAGTGTGAGCCCAAGTATCTGTTTTGGATGTGTGGACTCCACTCTAAAATTGTAGCTGCTATCAAGTCAGCAATCTCTGGGAAGAAATGGGTGGCAGGAACTGCCTTCTCCTCTGGGCCTGCCTTCTCCCTCAAGTACAGTATTCCAGGAGCCAGTGGTGGACTGGGCCAGAGGCAAAAGTGGGAGGAACAACAGGTGTGGCTCTCACTTTGTACAGTAAGCCACACAAAAGACAGAGGTTTGCAGAGTCGACTCAAGACATTTTGCTGCCTGAAGCAGTGAGCCAGGCTCTCTCTCTGCCCCAGGTCAAGGTCAGCCAGGTACTTTAGGCATCTGAGGCAGAACACCCAGCAAGCACCTCATCTTCCTTCCTGGTGATGTAATGTGCAATAATAGCAAACCTAATAACAAAATCACATGCTGTCCTTTCAAGACACCCAAAGTCAGCCTAAGGCTGATGCCTCACATTGCCCAACAGGAGGGCCAGCCCTGGAGGTTGGTATGAACATCTTCACACACACATCTCCCCAGCCTCCATCCAGGCAAGCAAGAGACATTGTTGCAGCTCAACTTTCCAGCTAGGCAAAAGCACTCAAGGAGGCTGGGGTGGGATGTGACCCAGAGAGACCGGCTGAGCCTGTTGTTCTTCACCTTTGCTTTAGCTGCAAGCACCTGGCAATATCTGTGGCATTTATGCTGAACCCGATGGATGCTCCAGATTCATTTGGCTTTGGTTCAGGAGATTGCAGCACAAGAAGCAGGCCCCCTTATTCAGATTACTTCCCATGTTCTGCCTGTTTGCTTGCTGGCTGGCTTGCTTGTAAGCACCCTGCCCTACCCAGGTCAGAGGTGTGCTTGCAGTGGAAGGAAGTCGACTTGTCTTGGGTCAACTCTGCAAACCTCTGTCTTTTGTGTGGCTTACTGTACAAAGTGAGAGCCACACCTAGTGTTCCTCCCACTTTTGCCTCTGGCCCCGTCCATCCCTGGCTCCTGGAACACTGTCCTTGAGGTATTGTGGCCCACCACCTGAAAAAGGCTCCCCACCCCTGAGCTAAAGGATTTTGTTGAAGCTTCTATGTTGCAGCAACTGATTGAGTTGCTCTGAATGTCACAGAGGAATGGGACCGGCTAAAGGGTCTCTGCCTGCCACTGGCTAAGCTGCTCTGGTGCCAAAGAAGGGTGAGGCAGGAAGGTAGGCAAGAAGCAAGGGCCAAGGAAAGGAAATCCAAGTGGTTGGCAACTGAGTGCTAGCAGGCCATCCAGGAGGCGGTGATGAAGCCCACTCCTAAAGAAACCTGACCAGGATCTGATGGTTCTTGGCAACTACTGCCCATTTGCTAATATTTGCTTTGGGGGGGGGGAGTTGATAGTAACACAGGAAGCTGCCCTATATTGGAACAGACTATTGGCCCAACTAGTTCAGTACACTGCCTGGTAGCATCTCTCCAGAGTTTCGGGAAGAGATTGTCTCTGGTTCTGCCTGGAGAGGCCAGGGATTGAACCTGAGATCATCTGCACACAAAACAAAGGCCATGCCCCTGTGCTTACAACCTTAAAGTTGGTGGCAATGCAACTGCAAGCACTCTTGAATGATACCAGTTTTCTAGACCTTTATCTGGAGAAAAGGCGCAGGGTGTATGTGGCTTTTGATCACGGAATCCTGCTGGATCAGCTCAAAGCACAAAGAGCTCTGCCACCCAAGCTCGGGAATGTTTTCTACAGAGGTCTCCATCACCCCATCTTTATATGCATACCTGTGCAAAATGAACACATGGCCACGTCCTCCTCTTTATTTCATTTATGAATCCCTTCGTGTCAGGCATCCCCAAGTGTTTTACAATGTAACAACGTAGAAAATCAGTTGCAGATATAAAAACGAGAGAAATACAGATTTTAAAACGATTTAAAACAACAGGACATACATAAATCAAATTGATTCCAAGACAGGCAACAACTGGGATAAATATCTTAGGAGGCTTGTTGAAAGAGGAATGTCTTTGGCAGGCATCGAAAAGACCACAGAGAAGGCACCTGCTCTGTCTGATATGCAACGGGGAGGGTGTTCCAAAGGACAAGTGCCACCACACTAAAAGCCCCATTCTGACATAATGCAGAACAGACCTCCTGATGGGATGGTATCTGCAGGCCCTTCCCTCTCCTGCAGAATACAGTAATTGGTTGGGTATGCAGCGGGTGAGGCATTCTTTTAAGCATCCTGGACATTAAAGAGGCCTTTGGAGGAAGCTGTACCAATGAGGATGCTACCTTCCTCCTGGGCCTTATTGACCACACTTTCTGTTCTAACTGCTGATGTTTTTCGAGACCAGCTTTTCCCAACCAGGTTCTCTCCAGATGTTTTGCACTACAACTCCCATCAGCCTCAGCTAGCATGACCTGGGAAAGGCCACTGTACCATTTTCTTCTGTTGTTTCTTTTAGTTTGTTTTGACATTTCTACACTGTCATCTGTTTTCTTCCTTGTGGAAGAAAAGCAGACTAGAATTATTATTGTTGTTATTGTTATTATTATTATTTTAAACACCCATAAATAAAACAAATGGCAGTTGCCTAGCAACATCATCTCAACATGGAAGTGGCTGAGCAAGGCAACCTGTGGTTGCCAGGCGATAGGACCCTGCAGCAACACATAGCTGAGAATGGGTAGCATGCGGTGGGTTGAGGTGAGCAGAAGGACAGAGGGAGGACCCATAACCTCCTTCCTGAAAACTGACCACCTCTTAATGACATTTGTATGGGTCCACCAGAGGGTGGCTGAACTGCCACACCCATAATCTCTGAGCATTGGTCCTGGTGGCTGGGGCTGATGGGAGTTGGAGACCAACTAAATAAGGATATTGTAGAATTGGAAAGGGGCAACTGAAATATTCAAGGGGATGGAAAACTCCCTTATGAGGAAAGGTTGCAGCATTTGGGACTTTTATAGTTTAGAGAAAATGCATTAGTTTCAGAGAGAGGAGGCAACATGATAGAAGTTCATAAAATTATGTAAGTGGTAGAGAAAGTGGATAGACAAAATATCCACTCCACTAGCAATGCAGCTGAATGTTGGAAGATTTAGGGCAGACAAAAGAAAGCCCTTCTTCACACAGCTCACAAACTGTGGGACTTGCTCCCACAGGAGGCTGTGATGGTCACCAACTTGGATGGTTCTAAAAGAGGGTTAGACAGATTCATGAAGGAGAAGGCTATGTATGGCTAATAGCGAGGATGGTTCTTCTCTACCTCCATTGGTAGAGGCTGTATGTCTCTGAATGCTAGTTACTGAGAATCACAAGTGGGGCCTGTGCTGCTGTGCTCAGTTCCTGTTTGGGGGCTTCCTATTAAGGGCATCTCATTCACCATGAGAACAGGAGGCTGGACTAGATGGGCCACAGGTTCTTCTGATGTTCTCCTTGTGACCTGGGCAAATCTCTTCATATTTTCTTAAATTCTTAACAATGTCTGAATCCAGAACTGGGCAGATCCAGAACCGGCTTTCTGCCCTCACTTCTGTTCATCCGTCCATTCTGAGCAGGGCCTCCCAAGACATTTTGGCACATGAGGCAGACCCCAAAATGGTGTCAGGGAAGAAGGAGTGAGGGAAGATCTACATTAGGAACAAGCTGAGGGAAGAAAGATTGGCATTGGGATCTGCTTCCCTGGTGGATCCTGCCACTTGAGGCAGTCACCTCACCTTGCCTCATGGGAGGGCTGGCCCTGCTTCTGAGGTACAGGCCTCAGAATTAGGGGGCCTGAGGCATCCTTGGCTTTCTCTGCTCTTAAAGCTGCCATATTCCCAGGCCTGGTGTCAACAGCAGGCAACTTTGGGCAACGGCCTGGGTCCTCATGCTCCACCAGGGCCATTCTGAACTGATACCTGCTCTGGGCAACCAGCCATGAACAGTGGTGGGCAACCATTTAAATCTCCCATGATACCAGAGTGAGAAAGTCATTACATCAAGCACTCCTGGGCATTATGGGAAAGTTATATGGCAACCTGCCACTGTAGCTCGCTGGTATATGAGGAGCCTACCAGAGAGAATTCTGCTGGACACCCCTTCCAACCCAGAGCTGACCTTGTGTATTTCAACCAGGCCAGATGTCTGTATTTTTACACCCTGGCAAAAGCCCATGGAGAACTGCACCTGTGGAAGACTTGCCTTCCTCAGATCTCTTTAAAGATTGGAAGACGTAACTCAGTCGAAAACAGTAGCCTTAGCTGTTCTGATCTAGAAGGAGAGACCTAATTCAGGGATGTTTAAAACTCATGTTTGTTTGACCCTGTTGCATCATATCTGTAGGGCGAAGTCTGGATGGTTTCAGAGAGCCCATCACTTGATCACTTTGCCATGCAGAGATAGCCAACATTTAGGTGCACCTAACACCCCTATCCTGACCAAGCACATGATGGGTAAGTAAATCTCCACAGATTTTCCCTTCGTCCATGTCCTTACATGGTGAAACCAAAGCCGCCCCCTTATTAAGGGAAGCTTGCATTCAGAAGTGCATTGCAGTTAATTTACCACCACAATCCAACGGGCAGTAGGTTACATGACATTATTTGGAACTGTTAATGTTATACTGTTATTGGTTATACTAGCAAGATGGAACTTCCATGTGCAGCAGCTTAAATTTATTTTATGAAATAAATTGTATGAAATAAACAGCTAGAGAGCTGCTGCCAGACAGTATATACAAAAGCTAGACGCACCAATGGCCTGATTCTATAGGAGACAGCTTCCTATGTCAAGCCAATTCCTGTTTAAATTTATTCACAATCAATAGATAAATTAATTATTTCCACCTTTCCTGTCTTCCCACTTGCTCAGCACAGGGCCTGTGGCTCATTCCACCAGCAACCCAGTGGGGAATTTTGAGGAATGTTAGGCTGAGAGCAACTGCCCCAGGGGCAACTTGGGGAAGAGTTTGGTAGCCGAGTGTGGATTTGAATCTGGGCTCTGCAGCTGCCTGTGTCCTATGGCAAATACAGTACGAGAGGGGTTGGTTCTTTCAACTGATGGACTCCTCCAGATGACTTGTTCATTGAGCATTTGTCCCGATATGCTTGCACGAAGCATGCGGAAGGTTTTACCCATGGAGGCTGGCCCATTAGGGCAATTGGGGCACTGCCCCACCAACCTCAGCCTGCCCTCAACCAATCCACACCAACCTGCCTTGTCACTTACAACCACCAGTCAAGAGAGTTCTGCTGCAGGCCAGCTTCCTCCTGCTTGGTCTCCGGGTTGCTACGTACAACTCAGGAGGGCAGAGGATGGATAGAATTAGATGACTGTCCCTCACATTAGCTCTGCCTCTGCCTACTATTGGTCTCTCTGCCTTCTGTCCCTCCAGTCCCAAAGGGCATATCTGGTCTTAATTGAGTTATTATCATTTGGGTTTGTGCACATGGAGGTTATTCATTTTCCTATCTATCAATTGTTGTCCCACACTTTCGGCTGCATTTCTCCATTACTTTCCTAACTGAGAAAAATCTACCTGCTTCTTTGTTTAAAAAAAATGGATTTGTTATGCCAGAGCCATTTAATCAACTTTAATTGTGCAAACCCAAATGGTATGTGATTGAATCCTCCCACCCCAAAATAGTGATAGTCTGGAGGTGACCCATATTTGCATAAATGTGTTAAGAAGGGGTTAGCAAGGTGGCTATGAGGAATGCCCTCCCCCATTTTTAAAAAAAATCAAATCAGAGAAATGTCACTAGTCCAAACTTTTTGTTTTCCTTGAACCTCCCTGTTGTTTAGCAGGGGGCTAAACATCAGCCTCAAAATTTCACTCTAGGTGAAACTTGGGAGCGTTTTATGGATGTACAGACTAAACCCCACCTTTAACAATGTTACTGAAATTCTTTTGGCCTTTCGGATGTTTCATCCAAGCAAGAATATCTGTATCTGCTTTAGAATTTCGCTTTAGGCAAAATTTGGCTGTTGGCTCTAATGAGCAGGACACGACATTCAAGGAATCTCACCTCCCTTTGTATTTCAAAGTGATGGCTTCATATTAGATGCGCCAGGTTAGTCAATGGAAATTAACCCGCTCTCTGTTCTGTTCCGCTGAAAGATTTGAATGGGCCTGTTGGGCCAGAGTGCCTTCTAGTGGTGGCAATAACACTCTGCTTTCCTTCTCAATGAATGGAGTTGGTTCTTTTATGTAGCTATTGCCATTCATAAGTGTTTGGAACTTCAGTGGTCACCTATATAAATTCCAAAATCTGTTTTCAAGGGCTGTGTTTCACCTTTGAAACAGATGAAATCATAAGGACAACGAGAGTACCTTTGATTATGTGCAGAGTGCATATCCTCATTGGCACCTCCATTATACATCTTTAGGCACCAGGCGAAAATGTTCCTCTTCAACTAGCCCTTGGGCTGATTAACAGTCTATGCCCTTTAAAACGTATTTATTGGAGGGGGCGTGTTGTTGGTTTGCTTTGTTTTTGTTCTTGTTTCTATTATGTTCTCTGTGGCTTTATTTTGTATTTTGATGCTGTGAACTGCCCTGAGATCTTTGGAATGAACAGCAGTATACAAATTTAAATTAATTAATAATTGGTCATGTTGGACTGACCTGATGGGAGCTGCAGTCCAATGACAGCCGGAGTACCACAGTCTTCCCACCCTTGATTTAGCCCTGTGCTGTCTACCTCTGACTGGCAGTGACTATCCAGGGTCTCAGCAGATGCACTTGCTATCAGGTCCTTCTAATTGGGAGCATGGACAGGAGCTTGAGCCAGAGACCTTCCTGCATGCATAGCAGTGGCTGTGCCATTGAGCTGTGGTACACAGCGCCTATTATAAAGCAGCCTTGTACTGAAATCATATAACTGGCTACCTGCTTCCCAGGTCTCCTCGCTCTGTCCAACCATCTTGTCCTCTGTCGTCCCCTTCTCCTTGTGCCCTCCATCTTTCCCAACATCAGGGTCTTTTCCAGGGAGTCTTCTCTTCTCATGAGGCGGCCAAAGTATTGGAGCCTCAGCTTCAGGATCTGTCCTTCCAGTGAGTACTCAGGGCTGATTTCCTTGAGCTGTGTACACAACGCTATTATAGCACCTTGCATTAAATGTCCAATATAACTGGTGACCTGCTTTCCAGGTCTCTCTCTTCTCCCTCCTCATTCTTACCAAGTCTTGGGACTGAACTGCAACTGAGCTGTGATCCTAGTGCATCACACTCACTTTCCCATTATTTGGACCAAGGGAAACAGGCCTTTCCATTCTTCCTTTGAGTGTCTTTGTGTATGTGTGTGTGTGTGAGAGAGAGAAAGAGTTGGGTGGGGGAGAGTCAAGAAACTCCATTTTCATGCCCACCAAACATGCTTGCCAAGTCACACACAGGTTCAGCTGCTTTCAAGAGATTTGCAGAGCATAGTCCATCAAAGCAAACATACAAAGAGTGCTGCCTTAAACTAGATATAACCAATTCCCAAACTATGGGAAGGTATAAAATGGAAATGGCAAATATCTCCCTGGGCATGCTGCTTATAATCTAAACCAATTTTTATTTATCTGCTTGTGAATTCCATTTGGCAGTCCCCACCCCCCATGATACATGAGCAGACTCAACAGAAATGTGAATATATACATAAGAACGAACTGCGGAATATTTTTCATGGACTGCAAAGATCACTGGAGACATTATCTGCTTGCTGTTTGATTCTGCAAGGTTGCTTGATTCACTGTTCTGCATGCCAGGTGCCGGCAAGTCACCACCCACTTGCAGTGAGCCCCAGTTCTGTGCAAGGCAGATGTCAGATAAGGCAGGTGGTGCAGCTGGACATATGGGAAACTGGCACATATAGCCATGAAGCCATTTATGCATATAGCCATTTATGATGGGAGAGTGAATGGGGCTCCTTCACCAGTCACCACCATGCAAATATTGCAGAAGCCCTCCAGAAGCCCAATTCGCTTCCTCAAACTGGCTTTTGAATTCCTGCAGAATAAAGTAACTAACTGAAAGAGAGTTCACCAGGTGTGGACTTTGGCAATTAAATATGGCACCTTGTGCAAGGCCAAAATTTGGCGCTCACAAACGGGTAGTCTCAATTATGGATCTTCTCTTTTCAATTTTGAGCCCCCTCAGCTGGTGCCCTCTGCGGGTGCCCACATTGCCCAAAAGCTGGCACTGGAGAGAGAGACAGATAGCCCAATAGAGCAAGGAGCAGGCAAGCCTCCCTGCCCTTAAACTTTTAGCTGTCACTCCTAGAGAGCAGAAGAAGTAAAATTCTTTCCAGGCATGTGCGAAGACTTGCTGTTCAATTATTCCCCGTTTATTCCTTTCGACAGCGCCTGCCTCCCTTTTCAATATGCCATATAATTTGCTAATAATAATAATTACAGTGATCGCTGGCCCAGAGTGCAAAGAGGTAATCAACTCCTTAAGCCCTGACTGTGCACTACTAAAGAAAGGGAATGCAAAAAAGAAAAAAAAAGAACTACTCAGCCCATCATTATTCAGCCTAGCCAATCTAGGGTTCTTTGTTCACCTCTCTATGATGCAATCCCAATGAAGGTTTCTGTTATACTGGAGGACCATGATGGAATATCCTGAGGGAAGCCCAGTAGATCTGGGTCAGATTACTTTAGCAGCTCTATGCCAGCTTTGCCAGTGCCCTCCAGATGTTTTAGGCTGCAGCACCCATCAGCCAAACCTCCAGAGGACACCAGGATAGTGGAGGAACAGCCAACATGGTGCCCTCCAGATGTTGTGGACTGCAACGCCCGCAATTCCTTACTGCTGACTATGCTGGCTGGGGCAGGTGAGAATTGTAGGTGAAAACATCTGGAGGGAACCCCCATATTGGCTACCCCTGTTCTATACCATTGCCTTTACATGATGGAAGGAAGGTGGGATATCAATATGATAAACAAATCCTTGCCTCCCATTCCCACAGGATTCAAAAATGGTGGCCCTGCCAATAAGGAGTCCCTACCCTGTATTGTATCTGATTGCTCTACCAACATTTCCCAGGATGCTTTGGGCCATTCCAGACAACAAAACACTGAGCTAGGTGGACTGTTTGTCTGACACAGCATGGCAAATCCCTCCTGTTTTGATTACTCCTACCTACAGAACCAGATCAGCCTTTGCCAACCTGGTGCCCTCTATGTTTTGGAGAACGACTCCCATTAGCCACAGCCGGCAAAGCTGTGAACTCCCAAATTATGTTTGTTTTTTCTCCTGGACTCTGCACAGAATGCATCTTATTTGGCCTGTGGGGGAACAGAAATAGAATTTGCTTTAGTTATGTGGAACAAACACCACCTGTGACTAGAGATGGGGAACATTTTCAGTTTCTGTTTATCTCTGTTTCTCGTTTTTTTCATCTTAAGTTCAGTTCTACATCAATTTGCCATTTTTTTTTAAAAAAATCCCCATGAAAGAATTAACCAGC